GCGCCACTCGGTCGGCCCCAGACCACTCTTGATGGTGGGGTTCCAGCCTGGGCGCCCAGCAAACCCTGCATGTCCTTGTCTGCTGGTCTCTATCAGACCCCAAATCCCCCTGAAGTATTCTCCCCCATACCCAAATGCTCTCTAGCTCAATCCAGCTTCTCTCTAGCTCAGCCCAGCTATCCAGACCCAAGACCCAGTGTGGATCGCCCACCGCCCAGAGCATCCAGTAAGCTCCCTCTCCTCCCTTGCTTGCTGGTTAGCTGGGCTGTGAGTCTCAGCTTCCTAGGGCCTGCCTCCAGGGGTCCTGCCTCTCTTGCAGGGCCAGCAGACAATGGTCGAGTAGGTAGGGTGTAGAGTGGCTGCTGGGCTGCTGGGCTCCACGTTGTGCTCATGTTCGGTTGTACAGCTTCCAAGGGCTGTGGTCGGCTCTCCCACATTTGTTCTCATCCTTTTCTCTCTCAGACCCTTGAGACTCTGGCTCCTCCTTGTTGGGACAGAGGTCACTTTCTCCATGCCTCAGCTGAACCATTCATTGACCCTTCGGTTTACATATCTTTTCTCAGGCCCCACTGCGTCCTGAGGCGGCCACCCCAGTCCCTGTCCTCAGCTGTGCCCAGGGTTGCAAGGAAGCAGTGACCCTCAGCTCACAGAAAGATAAACAGTCTCTTAACACCATTCAGAACTGACATCTGTGGAGAGTTTTCTGCCTGTAAGGATGGTTCTGAGTGCTTAACAAGTGTTGGCCCCTTTAATCCTAACAAAGGCCTCATGAAATAAGAACTTTTATTATCCATTTTACAGGCGAAGCAGAGGCACATGAAGGCAGTGGCTTGTCCAAGGTCACACCACTAGATGGCAGGGCCTGGTGGTCCTGACCACTGCACCACACTGCCTCCTCTGCCCTGGGTGTTCTGCTACCTGATCCCCATTCTCTCTGGGGGGCCCAGAGGTCACCCTGAGAGGTCCAAGGTGACATTGTGGATTAGTGGCAGAGCTGGGGCTTGAGCCAGTGCTCTTTAAGGGTAGGGCCATGACAGGGGCATGGAGGACACAGAGGCCAAGTGGCCACAGCTCAGGCTCAGTAGAGGCAGGTGGGGAGCCCACAGGTGGCCCTCGTCATGAAGCCTGCAGGAGGTGAAGTTGTGTCCCACCGGTTCCCTGACTCCATTCTGCAGGCAGCAGGGAATCAGTGAAGGTTAGAAAGAACCAGACACCCAGAAAGAGACAAAGGTACTAAGGGGGATCCAGGTCCCATCCCCATGGCCCTGGCAGCAGAGTGGCATTCCAGGGGCAGATGCCAACTTTTTGCTTACTTAGCTCTATCTGGCTTGAGGTAGCAGGTGAAGGAGACTGAAAGCCAGGAGAGGGTGGACACAGAGGGGAAAGAGACAGGGCTCTAAGCCCTGGTGTGTACACACACACACACACACACACACACACACACACACACACACACCACGCACGCACGCACGCACGCACACGTACATGTGCGCTTTCTTTGGAGGCAGACATTGAAAATGCATTCATACAGGTCCCAGGGTGAGAAGGCCTGGAGATGGATGGGTTTCCAGCTGGGAAGGCTTCCTGGGGTCATGGGTGCTATGAATGGGATGGGAAAGGCCTGGGACGGGGGAGGCGCAAGAGGGGAAAGCCAGCATCCACCTGGACTCCACGGGGAGAGGGGCTCTATCTAGGGGGTGGGATGCTGAAGGCCAGGCTAGACAAATTATTCTATAGTCACGGGAGCCAGACCCTCCAATGGTCTCCGCCCACATCATTTCAATGACCGGTGTCCCCACACTCCCTGAGCCCCCCTCCCTGCCAAGGCACATGGTACCTCCTCCGTGTTACCAGGAAATGAGGATTTCCGAGAAGCTAGTACACCACCTTTGGGACAGGTTGCTATGAGCTGCTCATGGCTCTTATCTGTGTGAGTCTGAGCTGGGCTGTACCACTGTCACCTCCTGTGCAGTAGTTGGAGCAGGCCCGTTTCCTGGGGGCTCCTGAGAGAAGCCTGGCCTCAACTTTGGTGGGACCAGATGAGGGGAGGGACGGGTGAGGACAGGACCTGGCCACCAGGGAAGGAAAGCACAGTCACCTGCTCTGTTGGGATTCCCACTATTAGGGTTCAGTCCTGTTAGCCCATTTCCTGCTCCAGGACACTTGGTTACAATGCAGTAAGATCAGGTAGCATTTACTGAGCGCCTATTGTATGCCAGGAACTTTGTGAGCTTGTCTCATTTAATCTTCACACAAGCCTATGGAAAAGGAATTACCACCCCCATTTTTAGATGATGAAATGAGGCTCAGAGAGTTTAAGTGGCTCAGCCCAGATCACCCTGCTGGCCGTGACCCCTGGACCTTTGCTGTCCTGTACCTTTATGTATGGCTGGGTAGGGGTCACCAGGGGGGGGTGATGACGCCCCAGGTCTTCTTCCACTATGACTAGAGGGGGATGGGGTGTCTTTGTTTCTTTGCTGCAACTTGTACCACATTGAGTGATAAAGGGCAAGGGGACTGGTGAGTGGGGGATGGTCAGGGGCTAGGGCTGGCTGGGTTCTTGGGGCAGGAGGGAGTGATGAACCATGTAAGGCTGGGGTGGGATGCTGAGGGACATGAGGCTGGTGAGGGGGCAGTGGGAACAGTGGGAAGGTGGACTATCCACAGACATGGACCGATGACCAGGTCCATGTCAGGGAGAGGCTGCGAGGGGATGAGGGGGCAACACTCAAGGGGAGCTGCAGGCCCTCCCCTACCATGCCTTTCCTCCCTCCAGCATAGGTAACTCGGGTCCTGCCCTTGGAGCTGTTCAGCCCAGGGCTGGCTGCCCACTTCCAGGGTCTGCCGGGTGCTCAGTGTGGGCTACAGTCCTCCTCATCCAGGTGACATCTCTCTATATCATGAGATTTTCTTTCCACCCCTTTCCCTGTCCAATAGCCTTACCCACAGGATGTG